CTACTCCTGCGCGGCGAGTTGGGCGCAGCGGTGGGCGCGGCGGCGGCGGCGCTGTCCGGAGAGATCGTCATCCGCCTCTTCGACGATGCCGTGCACGATCAGCACGACTTTCTCAACAGCACACCGTTCCACTTCGTCGGCAACTCCACAAACTTCCGCAGCGTAAACAGCATGACGGTGATGGTCGGCCTCGCCGCGGGCGGGTCGGCGCCCCTGCTTTTCATCCCCGGCTCACACCATGTGATGCGGGAGTTCACGTGCGATGGCAGTGACATGAGCCGCTTCCGCGCCGGCGGCGTGTTCGACGTGGGACGCGCCATTCGCGGTATCGCGCCACTGCGCGAGCTGCCTGTGGTGCAGCTGCAGCCGCTCGAGCCCGGCAGTGTACTGTTCATCAACCACTACACGCTCAGCGCCGCGCAGCCGACAATGTGTGGATCGGCGGCCCACTACGTGCCGCCGTCCACCCGCACCGTGAATGGGCCCTGCCAGTACGCCATGACGCTGATGCCGGACCGCTGCGTGTTTGATGGCTTGCGCAATTCGTGGGCGTCGCGCGACTCGCACGGCCCACTGCATGCGTACGAGGCGGGGCAGCCACTAGTCGACGACGCCGTGTTCCCCATCCTCCACAGAGCCCTTGATGTGGAGTAGAAGGAGGTGCGTTGGTGATGGCCAAATCTGTCTGTCTGTCTGACTCTGTGTGTTCGCGTGTTTCGCTGTTTCTCGTGGGTTCCCTTGCTGCTACTCCTGGGTACTGACGCCATGATTGTTTTGCGCGCTCCTACCACCTTGATAGACAGAGGAATAGTAGGACAACAGAGTCCCTTCTCATCATGAGTGCGGAGATATTGATGTCCATCCAAAATGGACTCCTGCTTGAGCGGCAGGGGAAGCTTCGTGAGGCGGAGGAGTGCTTCACGCAGGGCATTAATCAACTTCGTCGAGTCGTGGAGAGACCCTCGCTGGGAAACTCACAGAAGATGGTACTGACGGAGTACATGGAGGATGCTGCGCGCCACATCCTGCGCATCCGCGCGGCACTTAGATACCAGCAGCGGCCGCTGCAGCAGCAACAGCAACAGCCATCGTCGCCGCTGCCTCTGCCAGAGGATGAAGACTATCTTGGCTTCTTGGAGGATTTGCCGGACGAGCTAAAGCGCGAAAAGGGTTCTCCGTCGACCAAACTACCCAAGGATCCTTCACCAACGTCAACACCTGCAGCGGCAACAACAACACCATCGTCAACACCTACAGTACCGCAAGCACGGCAGCAGCAACCGCCGCCGCCGCATCAGCCAATTGACCCCCTGGCGAAGCATTTCGCCCCCCGCGCATCTGAAATTGTCATGAAGGCTATTGACGTGGCCACAACGCTGGCGAGGCAGCGGGAATACAAGCGAGCTGTGGATGTGCTGCAGCACGCGTACGATGTGGGGATACGGGAGCGCAACAAACCTGGAAACTTCCAGCGGGTTGAAGAACATCTGCGCCTTTTACGGCGCGAGTATTATAATCACTTCAAGCCGCGCTTCGTACAGGACAACTCGGTGCTGCCGGAGGAGATGGAAATCCTAAGGAAGTCCGGCATCACCGCAACGATCCTGCTCCCTATTTGGGACGATTTGAACGAGGGCTACGGTCGTGAGAATGTCTTCATGCCCTGTGAGGGCCACTGGGAGGACTCCTTCACGCCGCGCCTTGATACAGTGCAGCAGCGTGCGGGGGCGAAGTACCTGCGTATCAGCGAGGTTAAACCTAACACTGCGCTCAGCATCATTCACACTGCTGATCCGCTGAACGTGAAACAGACAGTTGTGAGTGACTGCTCGATGGTGTGCAGCCTCATCATCTGTGCCTCGTACCAGCAGCGGTTCCCAAAGGGGAAAATCATCAATAACGTCATCTTCCCCCAGGACAACAACGGGGATCCCATTGTCAACCCTAAGGGGAAATATTGTGTGAAGATGCTCATAAACGGCATTACACGCCTTATCACTGTCGACGACCGCTTTCCCGCGAACCCGCGCACTGGGGAGCTGCTCTGCACATACAGCCGAGACAACACCGAGCTGTGGGCTTCGATCATGGAGAAAGCATTTGTGAAGGTCTGCGGCGGAAGTTACGATTTCCCCGGGAGCACCAGCAGCAGTGACCTCTACAAACTCTCTGGGTGGCTCCCCGACGGTATCTCACTCAATTCGGAGGGATTCGACCCCAAGCTGCAGTGGATGCGGCTGTACAAGCGACACGTGGACGGCTCCGTTCTCATAACGGCCAACACGGGATCGTTAGCAAAGGAAGTAGAGGAGAGTCTGACGCTTCCTGCCATGCACGCGTACGCAGTGCTGTCCATGCAGGAGATCAATGGTATACATCTGCTACAGCTAAAGAACCCTTGGGCGCGGCGTACCTGGAGTGGGGCGTACTCCTTCAGAGATAGCAGTGCGGGAGCGAAGGCGGTGCTGTCGCAGGTGCAGCACAACAGCGCGCTGGAGGAGCAGGGCATCTTCTGGATCACGTGGGAAGACCTCTGCTCGTACTTTTCGCACTGCAGTCTCAGCTGGAATCCGTACATGCTTTTCAAGACGCCAGACGGCATGTCGCGGCGCCCACTGCGGCTCTCCTGCCACGCCCGCTTCCCTTACACGACAAGTACAGGCCAGACGCCGCAGTTTCATATTGGCGTGATTAATGCCCCATCAGCCTCACGCATGCATCTTGTTTTCTCGCGTCACATCACCGACGTGGAGAAGTTTGGAGAGCAGTTCGAAAAAAACAATCCAAAGGTGCCGTACGTGGCCATTAAGGTCTACGACGTGACACGATTCCCATCCATTGCGCAGCACATGGGTGCTCGCTGCACCTTCGGAATGTGCTACTGCCGCCGACTGGCCCACGGGACGGAGTTGGACGCGCGCCTTGAGCCGCTAAACGAAGTTGTCTACCGAAACATGGCGGCCCATACGCAGAGCTTCAATTGCCCCGCCGGCACGAGTGATCTGCTCGTCGTTGTCGGTCGCCTGGAATCTGCTGTGAAGGGGGAGTTTAGCTTTTCGCTAACACTGCACACAGAGTGGCCGCAGATGAAGCTCAACGCGGCAGAGCCGTCAGCCAGCGGTGTCTACATGCATGCCATCCCCCGCAGTAACCTCAAGCAATGCACCGTTAAACAGGGGCGTTGGGTAAAAGGGATGACTTGCGGGGGCAGGAGCAGCACGCAGACGTTTGTGTTCAACCCACAGTACAGTCTGTCGTTATCAAAACCATCGATGCTCTCTGCACGTCTCTGCCTCCCCGAGTGCGAGCTTTCAGCGCAGTTGCATGTCGTGCGGAAGGAGCAGAACGCGTCCCACGAGAAGGTGAGTTGGGCGGCGCGTGTCGGCTCCATCAACGTGGAGTGCAGCTTCCTGCTGCAGGCGCCGCTGTACGCTCACGGCGGTGTCGTTATCGACACGAGTGTGCGGCGTTGCCTCGCCTTCGACACGAAGCGGCTGCTCGGCGAGCAGCAGAAGGACGCGCCACCATCGGAGCCGCTGCCGCTTCTGCCAGCCGGCGACTACACAATTGTGCCAGCGCAGTGGGAAAACGGCGTGCCGGCGGAGTTTGAGCTTGTTGTGGAGACGACGGAGCCGCACGAGTTGCGTGAGATCCCCGCGGAGGGTGACGGCTTCACCAAGACAACGCTGTACGGACAGATGACGGGTGGCACTGTCACCGCTCCTGCCGCTGCTGCGTCTATGCCAAATGCCAGCGAGTACTTTTCTAGCAATAGCAAGGCGTCCTTTATCGCCTCCTCACCGGGTGTGGTGACGGTGCGTCTGCTGCTGCTGCTCGGCGCGGAAGGCGAAGCGGAGAGTGGCGTTGCCGCTAACGTGAGTCTCTTCCGCGCGGAGAGTGCAGTCGCAATGGCACTCGTCGCCACGTCGGGACCATATGACCCCTGTAGTGCCGCACTCCCGCCGGTGAAGGTGGAGGCGAATGTTACGTACGTTCTAGTTGTGTCCTCCTCTAAGCCTTCTTCCGCAAAGTACGTGCTGCGATTCTATTCCAGTTGCCCATTGAAGGTCCAGCCGCTCTAAAACAAAAAGTTTTTTTTTTTTGCTTTTTTAAATGTGTTTTCGTGCTTGTATGCTTAAAAAAAATTCTTTTTTCATTTGCCGCTGCTGCTTTTGCTGCTGTGATGAGGCCCTCACCACACGATTGAGCGATGACCACAACACCATCGCCACTACCGCCACCTCGTTCTCCTTGCTGCAGCTTCCCATGAATGTAGGGCGACGAGCTGCGGCTTCAGCCTCCCTCGGGGCGCGTGGAACTGGCAGCGACTGGCTGCTGCGGCATGCGCGTCACGACACGGCGCGGTGGGAGCGACCAAGCGTCGCATCGTCGACTGCCGCGGCTGAGACAATCGTGAGGGTGCTTGCCGTTGGCGGTCCCAGTTGTTGGGAGACTGCCACTGAGCTCTACGCCGGAGGTCTGGCGACGCGCTCCATCGGGCGGCGTGGTGCTGTGGCGCAACAACAGCGGCACGGCGCCATCGTGCACGTCATGACGGCGCTCGGGCAGGGGAACGCAACAGTCGTCCTGCGTGGGTTGGTGGCGCGGCGCATCGCACGCGATGTCACGCTGCCGCAGCTTGAGGCTACACGTGAGGAACATGAAGCCGCTGCAGCGGCATGCGCAGCAATTCTGCGTGAGCTACTCGCTTCTGGCGAGTACATGGTGGCGCTGCGCTGCGCGGAGCGTTGGGCAAAGCGTGACGTGTCGCCGGCTGTTGCGCAGCGGGTGCTGCACACACTACTTGCAAGTTCCACCGGGGACAGCAGTACCGATGCGATGTGTCGCATGGCGTTGCTGCGTGGCGGCATCCTGCAGCGCGTCGAAATGGTGACGGGAACACCAGGAGTAGCCGCGCTGTTGTCTCTGCGTGAAGGAGGGGAGGGGGAAACGGACCGCTGTCTGGCGAGGTGGTGTGTCGATGCGGCGCTGTACATGAAGGTGTGCCCGTGGACTGCGTGCTTCGCCCACCTGCCACCGTCCGACGCGTCATCGGAGGTCTTCTATGAGGAGATGCTCGCGTGCTGGTGCACGCACCGCCGGTTGCCGATGCCGGCTGCTGCCGTGGGCGCACTGCCTGGACGTGTCCTCAGTTGCGCCATCGCGGACGTGATGCGCTGCTGCTTCGGCTGCCGTGATGAGTTGACAGAGTCGACGATGCGGCGCCTGCGGGATGTTGTTTCTGCCTTCTGTTGTGCGTCGGTGCGACCACACGAGGGGGCGGTTATGTGCCTGGACCTTCTGTATCAACTCTCCAACGGAGAAAGCGTCGCGCAGGACGTTCTGTGGTGGCGCGACCACTTGCAGCGGTACCGTCCCACATCCGTGACGTCTGCCGTTGCGTGGGTGGAGTTATGCAACCGCGTCGGGGCAACGGAGTTGGTGTTGCAGCCACCCTCTTCTGCACCGAGTTATTTCCCGCTTTTGGTTGTGCAGGCGTCGCAGTCGGCATCAGCGGCGGTGGCGCTGTTCGAGGCTGTGCGACACGGCAGCGCGAACCTACCGGAGGCAGATGATATTCCATGCGCGGCTGCGTGCAATGTGCTGCTGCTCTGCCGAGATGGCCGCAGCACTCCTGCTGTCCATTGGGTCCTGCGGCGCTGCAAAGATCACAAAGGCATCGCGCGGTTTATTTTGGATCAGCAGGAGCAGCATCACGAGGCAGCCGCAAATGTGCTGCGGGCGCTGCTGGAGCCGGAACACGCTGATGTTTTTGCGCAGCTGTCGAAGTTACTTGGGGACAGTCCCAACACATGGCTATCCCGTGTCGTGTCCCTTGCGGCACAACATGAGCGGTGGGTGGTGGCGCTACGGTGTGTGGCTGGCATGGCGGCGCCGTCGATCGGCCACTTGCACGTGGCCTTTCTCTCACTGACAGAGCGGAGCGCAGAACCCTTTGCCGTTGGCCTCGACTTTCTCTGGTCCGATGATTCCCACACGTCGCTGCACGCGGAGGTGAGCCCGCCGCAGTGCCACATCGACAGCGACCGGTGGGAGGCGGCGTTGCGACTCATGGATGTAGGCGCAAGGCACATGAAGAAACACTCCAATTTTCTGCAACTGTATGCGCACGCCATATCCCGCGCGACCGCAACGAACTGCCGCGTGCACGCCGAGGTGGAGGCTCATCTTGCGCGTATACAATTTGGTGGCGACGGTGCAGCAGCAGCAACAACAATAACAACACCGCGATCGGCGCGAGAGGAGCTGAAGGCCCTCGTAAAGGGCAAAGACTGGGCGGCGGCGTGCTCCCTCGTGCCGCAGGCAGGGCCCACGCGCGGGCTTGTGACACTGTTGGCGTACAGCGGCAGGTGGGCGGAGGCGGCGCGATTGGTGGCGGCGCACCGCAGGGAGGCATGGCTGCCGCTCGTTGTGCGTGGCGCACGTGTGGCAGGTGCGTGGCAGGCTGCGCTCTGGGCGGTGGAGCAGACGACAGCCGCTGGGATGCGTCTGCACTACGCGGCTGTGGCGGAGCTGTTGGCGTGCTGCACTTCTGCTGAGGTGCCGCTCGAGGCGATCCAGTTGTGGCTGCGCAGTCACATGGGAGGGGCGGNCACTTCTGCTGAGGTGCCGCTCGAGGCGATCCAGTTGTGGCTGCGCAGTCACATGGGAGGGGCGGCCGCACACGCGCTCTTTGGGCTGAAGAACGGCGTTGCGGCAGCGAATGGCAGACAGTTGTGCACCACACATGCCGAACTACTGCTCGTGATGCTGAGCTCGTCCCACTCGGCGAAGGAGCAGTGGATGTTCGCCCTCGAGCTGCTCACGAGCCACGTGCGGCAGCGCGGCGACTCCCCGTCGTCGCGAGTGTTTCACACGACCTTCGCAATTTTGCAACAGGCGGGGCGGTGGCGGGAGTCCCTCCAATTGCTGCGTTTCCAACACTCGCTCGGCGTACTGCTGACGACGAGGGCTGCCCGGCAGGTGATCGACACGCTGCCGGCAAGCGAATGGCAAGCCGCCCTCATGTGCGTGCGCGACGTTCCTCGAGGCGACGCCGGACTGGTTAATCGCGTTGTGCCGCGAATATTGCCGTTTCAGTGGGAGTGTGCGCTACGGCTTCTGGTTGACCACCGCGTGATGACAATAGCGGTGACGGAGCAGATCGTCAGCTGCGACGAGGTACCGCTGCACATGCGGCTGCAGGCGTGGCACCGACTGCTGCCGTCGCTGCCGGTGTCGATGAAGCACCGCGCGGCTGCGGTGTACCTCCGTCTCTCACTAGCCGTGTCGGACGCTGGGACGTGCAGCACACACGGCGTCGACGGGTTGCGCGTCATTGAGCGTTCTGTCCGCGGGTTGCGGCACGACTATCGCAACTACGCCGCGTTCGTGTATCACCGTGGTGTGCTGCACCGGTGCTGGTGTGACGCGCGCCTCGATCCAGCCGTCGGTGTGGCTGCCTTTCGCTCCCTCAGCGACATCGCACGGGTGGATGCACAGTGTGAGGTGAGCGCGTCGGCGCTGGAGCAACTGTCAGATCTCGTTGAGCGAATGGGCCCGTAGTGCGGCTGGGGCAACACCGCGCAGGCGCATCAATGTTGTTGTGAGGGTGAATTTACAGTTCCGTTCGCGGGCCACGGGCTGAGGTATCTGTAGCCAGTCTCCTCACACCTCTCTTTTGTCTCACAGAGGCGTGCGTGAAATTTCTCCCCCTTCTGTTTGTTTCGTGCAGGAAGTCGCTGCGGAACTACATGCGTCTTCGCGCCGTCCGCGGGCCGTTGACTGTCACGGCGATGACGCCGACACGCGCCTTTTCCGAGGCACGGTCCAATTACGACGGCACCGCCATGCCGCCGTGGCCAGCAGTGGGCGAGAGGCCACAGTACCCGTCCGCCCTCTCTGAGTCGCCGCTGCCGAGGCCGCGCATGCGCAAGACGCACACGGAGTGGATGTTCTTCCATGGCCACGGCGGGCGCCCCGGCATGTACGGCCCGTCGCGCGAGATTGCGGACTTTGAGTTCGCCGACGGCACGCCAGCGAGCGTCAGCAGCCGCCGCTTCGCCTTCAAGCACCACCAAGACCACCTGCTGGTGCAGCTCATACGCGCCGGCGCGGTGGTGGAGCGCCACGCGGTGAGTGGACTTCTCCCACGCGTGCCCGGCACGGCGGAGCAGCGTGACTGGGACCCCGCCATCCCGCTCTTTCTCGAGGACGTTGACGAGCGCGGCAGGCCGCCACCACCGCCACGCAGCAGTGGCAACGGCAATGCCACCGCCGACATGTGTGCCCGCGTGGTGGACGAGCGTATGGCGAGATCGGCGCCCACTCCGAGTGAATTGGCAAATCACCACGCGGGCGAGGAGCTGGAGCCCAACCTGATGTTCGCGTCATACGACCCCAGCGCGTTTGTCAACGATCAGGTGCAGATGCGGGAGAACAAGCGGCCGTACTGGTCCCGGCGTCGCTGGGCGCTGACAGACAGGTTCTTGGTGCCCAAGAGTCCCAAGCCAAAGAACACCATCAAGGATGAGTAATTGTATGGTTGGCGGAGCGCCTGCTGATGCCTCTGTTGCTGCCTCTGCTGCTGCTGTTGTTGTTGTTGCTGCTGCTGCTGCAGAGCCGTCTGCGCCAGAATGCATAGGGAGTGGTAGTGGGAGAGAGCGGAGGGAGAGGTGTGCGTCTGCTGCGTTTGGTGAAAGGGCGACGCAGAAGGAAAAAAAAAAAAGAAAAGTGAACAGAGGAGAGAAAGACAAGAACGCCGTCCGTATTCCCTCTGCTTAGCGTGAGGGCTGCGTGTATTGCCAGGTGATCGGCGTCCCTTTCATTCTACCCCTACCGACTCCTTTGGGTTGCCTTCCTCCTGCAGCTACCTGGGGTGGCGGGATGGCTGCGACACCAACCTCCCTGCCTACCCTCTTCCGCTTTTTCTCACACTCACTCACTCTCTTTCTTTCCTTCCTTTCTCACACCTTTTTCTTCTTTGTAACGTCTGCAAACGAAAGTGTTGGGGCGCGCATCGGCTTCATGCCGTCCACGCCTCGCTCTTCCGCGGTGAACTCCATCACGGTAGCGGTTCGGAAGCGACCCAAAATCACGGGAAAAGAATCGGAGGAGAACGACGTGGTGCGTTGCGAGGCATCGACCACTGTTGTTGTGTACGAGCCGAAGACTAAGCTGGACCTGACCCCAGTCATTGAGCCTTCCGTCTTTAGTTTTGACCATGTCTTCGACGAGGCGGCGAACAATGCGGAGGTGTACGAGACGTGCTGCCGCCCGCTGCTGCAGGATGTGAAGAGCGGCAATGGCGCCGTTGTGTTTGCGTTTGGGCAGACAGGCAGCGGCAAGACGTACACGATGCTGGGCTGCGCCGCGGAGGTGTGTCAGGGGCTGTACAGCTTCACCGTCACGGACCTGCTCACGACGTGTGCGCCGTGCACGCTCGCTGTGAGCTTCTACGAGGTGTACGGGTCGAAGCTCTTCGACCTGCTCAACAGCCGCGCGCCGGTGAAGATGCTGCAGGACGAGGCCCGCAACATCCATATTTTAGGCCTCACGGAGCGCGAGGTGTCAAGCGACGAGGAGGTGCGGCAGCTCATGTCGGAGGGACAGCTGCTGCGCGCGAGCGGCGCCACTCATGCGAATGATCGGAGCTCGCGCTCACACGCCGTGCTTGAAATTAGGGTGCGACTGCAGCGTGGCGAGCTCTCATGCGGGCGCATCACCTTTGTGGACCTGGCCGGCAGCGAGCGGGCAGCAGACACCGCCGACACCGACATCAAGGTGCGGCGCGAGGGGGCGGAGATCAACAAGTCACTCCTGGCGCTCAAGGAGTGCATCCGGGCCATGTCGCTCCGCAAGCGACACATCCCGTTCCGCGCCTCGAAACTGACGCAGATACTGCGCGAAAGTTTTGTTGGCCGATGTAAAACATGCGTGATAGCCAACATCTCGCCGTGCCAGCGGCACTGCGAGGACACGCTGAACACGTTGCGCTACGCCTACCGCATCAAAGAGCTGAAGGGCCCCACGGGCGAGGCCTTGGAGCGTGAGGCGCCGACGCCATGCGTCAACTGCGGCCTGCCTGTGTTTGCCGGCGGTAGGCACGTGTGCCGGCGCCTCAACGTGCAGTGCCCACACTGTCGGCAGGAGATGGACAAGAAGGACCTCGAGACGCACCTTACCGAGTGTAAGGAGTGTCCCTTACACTGCCCACACTGCAATGAACTCCTGCTGCGCGGAGAGCTGCTGCGCCACAACCGCCGTTGCGCGCAGTATCCGGTGCGCTGTCCGCTCTGCTCGAACCAAGTGCAGCGCAAAAATATGGAGCGGCACACGCTGTCGGAGTGTAGTGCCGCCAAGGAGAAGTGTCGCTACTGTGGTGTGCAGTTCCCTCGCTACGCGCTGGGTCCGCACGAGCTTGAGTGCGACATGATGAAGCTCGCCTGCCCGTACTGTCTACGCTACATCCGCAGGGGCCGCTTCGACGCACACGCGGCGGAGTGCGTGAGGAACCCCTGCCGGAAATTGGCACCGACACCGCAGCGGTCCGAGTCGAACCTGTCGTGTGCCCCGTCCGTGGAGCAGCGGCGTCTAGGCGCCGCGAAGACGCCGCGGCAGTCAAAAATGGGGCGGGAGTTTTCTGCGGCCCCGGACGACGCCACGCCGGAGGCGGACGTGGAGACGAAGTGCCCGTACTCTCGCTACGGCTGCACCTGCAAGATATCACGTGCGAGCCTCGCCGCCCACCTTGCGGAGGCGGTGGCGACGCACCTGGACATGGTTTCCGTTTACGCGGAGCGCATGGATGTGGAGAACGCGGCTCTGCGACGCCTTGTTGTCTCGAATGGCAGCGAGCGCAGAGATACGCATTAGCCCTCCCTCTCTCCTTCCGTCTCTCAGTGTGTGCCGTGTAGTTCAGGGACGCTGTCTTTCCCAGTCTCCTCCCCATTCGCCCGTGCCGCGAGTCAGGATGTGGAGTGACGAAGGGGCTGCTTTTGAATGTTTTAATTTGCCTGCTGATTAACGCTCATGAATCATTTCGTTTGGAACTGCCTCTTTTTGAGATAGTGTTGGGGAGCCAGTCTTATGGCATCGATGTAAAGTGTTGCATGCCGGTCTTTTCATCTCCCCCCCTCCTACGCAGAAGGTGTCTGCTGTCACCGATGATGCCGCCTCTGCTGCTGCTGCTGCTGCTGCTGGCGGTTTTCATTTATCATTATCAGTGTTGTTGTTGTTGTTTATTTCTTTTCATTCATTCATTTCCTCCATTCCTTCTGTTTCTGTTTATGATTTTTACTCATGACTTCCCGCGCAGTCTTTGTGATGGCGGAGCTGGAGCGGCTGCGCGAGCGGAACGCCAAGCTTCGGGAGGAAAACACACAGCTGAAGAAGAAGCTTGCTGAGGAGCGGCCGAACATCACCGGCGATGGCTTTGATGACGGCCACAGAAGAGTCGAGGTGGAGTCGTACAGGCGGCTCATAAACGAGCAGGACCCACAGGCCACCATATTGTCCCTCCACGACGAGCTCATGCGACTGGGCCGTCAGTGTGCGGTTTACGCCGACGCACTCGAGGAGGCGCGTGAGAACTTTGTAGAAATGAAGCGTCTGTATAGTGAACTGAACCAGATACTTGCCACCTGCAGTAACTCTAATTTGGAGTGAGGGGCGGGCCTGAGCGCGCGCATTTAGTGCCGGGACGCGATGAGTTGCGCAGGCAGGCGAAAAAAAAAAGTACAACGAATCCGTCTAGCTGTTTTTTTTGTTTGTGTTGACCACAAGCGTGTCTCCTCATATATATGTATATATATGCAAATGTATATGTGTGTGCGTAGGTGTGCGTGTGGCAGTGTTCTTACGACTCACCACAGTCGTCCCTTTCCCTCTCCCTCCCCCTTTTGCTGTGTGTTGCCTTCCCACACACACACACACACACACACACACACACACAGTGAGAGACAGCAGCAGCAAGCCGAGAGGCGGTGGCCGCTACTGGCGATACTACACTTCATCACAGCACAACAAGGCAAAAAGGGGCAACGGGAGAGGGAAGAGAGAGGGAGAGAGAGAAAGGGAGAAGGAAAGAACACATCAATACAAGAAAGCAAAGGGGACACAGACAGACAGACAGACTGACAATTGAGCAACAATGAGACCGGACTACATGGGTGTCATGTTCCTAACGAGCGCCGTCGTCTCGTTCAACGCCGGCATGTGGCAAATCTTCCGCCGCGCCGAAAAGAAGCGGCTGATGGAGAACCACAATAATCTTGCGAAGCCCCCTCTACACGAGCTCCCGTCGGACGACGCCGCATGCAACGAGTTCGAGTTCCGCCGGACCGAGCTGGAGGGCACCTTTGACAACGAGGGCTCCATGCTTGTCGGCCCACGCGCACTGCCCTCCTTCAAGGGCGCTGCGACCAACGACGAGAGCAAGGGAGGCTTCTTCGTGCTGACACCATTCGAAATCGCCAGCACAAAGCAGTTCGTGATGGTGCACCGCGGCTGGGTTCCCATCGATGCGGGGAAGCACCGCACGCTGCTGATGCAGTACATCGGCGAGGGCTTCGCCGCGGGGACGGTGCGCGGGATCCTGCGCCGCGAGGAGTTCATCTCCGGCTCGCTGCTGTGGGGGCCGAGCGAGTACAACGACGGGCCCGCCGCCGCGGACCTCTCGTGGCTCGCAGTGCGGCCGTGGAACATGGTGCTCGACTACTACCGGCGCCGCTGGGGGCAGCGCGGCGCTGACGCTGTTGTTGCCGAGCGCGGTGCCCACCACTACTACGTGGAGATGCTCGAGGACTACTCGGGCGACGACCAGCGGCTGGTGCGCGGCCACGCATGGCCGTGGCGTCGCAACGTCGAGGAGGTGACGTACGTGCACCTGCTGCCGGTTGTGCACACCATGTACGTCTTCTTCTGGTTCTCCGTCACGATCGGCTCCCTCTACGGCATGGGCCGCTGCTACCAGCACCAGAAGAGGCTCTTCGCTATGCGGAAGCGCATGACGGCGCAGGCGACGCAGTTGGAGCGGCGGCGGCAGGAGGAGGCGCAGGCGTACCTGCAGGCTATGCAGGAGGTGGAGCGGGTGAAGCAGGTCGGCGCCGCGGCTGCCGCGCAGTTGGGGGCGCAGCAGCAGCAGCAGCAGCAGCAGGATCGCAAGGAACAACCACCGCAACAAGAAGAAAGCCCGGCCGGCGATGAGGCACAGAAGAGGCCCTGAACAGCGGGAGAGGGAGAGGGAGAGGGAGTGAGTGGCGTAGTAACTGAGGCCCAGATGCCATGGCGTGACGACACAAACCCACACGCACACACATACAACGACGCACGCAATACAGTCGCACGCGCACGCACAGATGTGTACCCACGCCTACACACGGTTACATGCACAATGCTCCGCGCTCACCACCTGGCGTTTGTTTTTGCTTGGTGCTCTATTCTCGTTCTTGTTTTCTTTTCTTTTTTGTTTTGATCCGCATCGTGCCATCTGAAGAGAGTTGATGCGCCCCTCGCCGGTCGACACGTTTCTGTCACTCTGGCTGCGCGTCAGGAGCCCCGCTGATTTACCGGCGCTGCTGCCGTGCCTCGCAGCGGAGGAGGAGCGGCAGCACACCGCCGGGCTGAACAGTGATGTGGAGTCCATCTGTGCGGCAGTGCGCCGCAGGGGCGTGGAGTGGGATCTCCTGCACGCCCTATTCGCCTTGCAGCACACCGCGGCTGCGGTGCCGGTGCGCGCATTGGACCTGATGGTCATTCTGCTCTGTTGGGAGGCGGCCGCACTGCTGTCCCTGCGGTGGTTCTTCGCCGCGTGCACGCGACAGGTCGAAGGGCTGCTCGAGCGCCGCCTGAGCGCGGACCCAACGCAGGGCGACGAGCACTATGAGGCGGTGGTGGCGGACGTGGCGCTGGCGTTGTATGGCCGGGACGATGCGATGCTGTGGCGCGTGGACGAAGTGCTTGGCGAGGTGTCGCTGCAGCGCGGCGAGGCGGTCCCCTTCCTGCAGGCCGTTGGTGTGCGGCTGGCGGGGGAGCCGTGCGACAAGGCCGCCGCGAACAAAGCCGTGACTGTCGTGCTGCCGCCGGGAGCGGCACCCGTCCCGACTGCGGCGGACCACAAGAAGTCGAAGAAGACGAAGAAGAAGAAGAAGAGCAAAAGAAAGGGCTCTTGCACAGTGATGTAGACCCGCACTGGCCCTGTGGCGAGGTGGTGACCATGGGGTGCCATGGGCTTTGTTCTCTTTATCGTAACGCCCCTGCCCCA